GCAACTGCTGCAAGCACACTTGCTGGGTTCCCACTGTGGCATTAATAATAATAATTTCTGGGACTAGCATTCACTATACCATTTTTTGTCATTCTTCTGAGAAGAATTGTACCCGCTAAAAACTTTCAAGGAATATTGTGCCAATTGTTCATGCAGTAGCTGACGACAATGAAGAATTATGCCTGAAGTGGGTATGCGCCACAGTAAATGGGTGATCAAAAATAAGCTTCGTTGGGCTAGAGCATTGGATGACCCACTCGTTATGCTATTCGCATTGTGTTACGGCTCAGTGTCCTTTTGCTGTTCCAAAACGCTTTATTACTCATATTAACGTGATTCTTTTCCCGACATCAAGCCTGCCTAAGGTAAGTTTGCAAACAAGTCTCAAGCACCAGCATGGCTCAGTGGTCTAGCATGCAGCAGACCCGGGTTCGAGCCCCACTGTATTTTAAGTCATCATCATCATCGTCAGTCTAACTACATCCAAGGCAGGACAAAAGCCTCTCCCACGATCCGCCAGTGAACTCGGTCCTGTGCTTGCTGCTGCCACTTTATACCCACAAACTTCTTAATCACAACTGCCCACCTAACCTTTTGTCTCCCCCTAACCCGCTTGCTTTCTCTGGGAATCCAGTCAGTTCCCTTAATGACCAGCGGTTATCCTGTCTCTGCGCTACATGCCCGGCCCATGTCCCTTTCTTCTTCATGATTTCAACTATGATATCTTTGATCCCAATTACCGCATTTACTCGATTCTACCGCGCCCTCGATTGTAACGCGCACCCGATTTCCACCGCGAAAAAAAAACAACATAAGACATCGATTGCAACGCACACCCACTTTTCTCTCTGGCCCGCACGTTCACACAACTCTAAAAAACTACTCCTTTCGGGAGCGTCTTCCATTTAAATATGAGGTACGGGCGAAGCTTGTTCCCATCTGACGTGTAACAGAGCATTGCCGTCACTGTAGTTTTACCGAGGACCGATGCCAGCACGCGAACTTGCTTCGCCCCCTTCTTCTCGACGATTGTGGTGCCAGGCATGTCGAAGTAAAGAGGCGTCTGATCGGCATTCCCGATTTGCCCAAGCAGGTAGCCGTTGTTTCGCCGCAAGTTTAGGACGAACCTCTGAAAACTGTGAAGCTTTTCATCGTACTCTTCCCCAAAACTTTTCGCATATGCATGTTCCCCTTCGGAGGGAAAAGCCTTTCCTCTTCATAAAGTTAGTTAGCCAGCACCTGCTCGCTTTAAACTGGCTCTGCATTAGACCTTTTTCTAAGACTAATTGCATAGCCCACACTTGGAGCAGTTCTGTCATCACGGGCAGCTGTGCCGCTCGCTGCTCAAGCACATACTCGCCGAGCAGCTTTTTAATTTGCAGAAACCGACCCTGCTGTGGTCCACTGAAGCCTTTGCGTGAAGCTTTGCTGTCGACAATCTTCTGCTTTTGTTTCTGCCGGTCTCGCATGCACGTTTCAGGAACTCCGAACGACCACGATGCGGCCCGATTTCCGTCCGTTTCTGCACACGCGATGACTTTTCTTTTAAAAGCGGCATCGTGGTGCACTCGAGTTTTTGGAGTCGGCCCTTCCACGCCGTCGATGCTAATGCACTACTAGATGACGAACTCCTCAGCACACGTACGAAGTGCCCCACACGGGAAACACATAGACAGAAATGGCCGGCGCCCCATGCCGACGCACACGGAGGAAGGAAAGGTGCCGACGCACGTAGAAGGCGGCCATTTTGGATTTGCCGATGGCAACATAGCTCTTATTCCTAATTATTTCCACTCTAGGCCTATGAAAACCTCCTGTAAGCATGCGGTAAATAGCATTGGGGAGATTGTATCCCCGTGCCTTGCAACCTTCTTGATAGGTATTCTGTTGCTTTCTTTGTGAGGCACAATGGTAGCAGTTGATCCCCTGTAGATTTCTTCCGTGATGTTGATATATGCTTCGTCGACGCCTTGTTTCCGCCTACCCACATAGCTCTACATTATTACAAATAATCAAAACAATGCAAGATCGCTCTGCTCACTTTATTGCAAGTAATTATAATTGCATGAGATGTTCACTAAATCCATATGTCGAAAATAACAATAATTACTGAGCCCTTATAATAGAAGAAATCATTTTAAAAAGATATCTTTGCCTCATAGATGACACATTTTCAGAATGCATTTTTTCAAGATTCTTTTTCCGGATACTTCTTGAGTTCAGACAAAGTTTTCAGTACTTCTAATAGCCAGATCAAGATTAAATTTCCCACATATTCCTTAACACGTGAAGGGTGCAAGTATCTACTTGAACACTTTATACCACCCGTCTAATTATTACAAACATGAAGCGAACAATTAGTATGAACTGACCTTTCTAAGAATTTTCACATTACAATTTTCTTGTCCAATATTATGTTTTATACAAACTTTCTTGATGTGCAGCAATATGAGCCGTTAATGGCTTAGTACAATCAAACCTCGTTATAATGAAAGGGGGTTGCAATTACTTTGTTTTAACCATTAGTTAGTTATAGCCAATATCCATTTCTACAGACAATTAGTCAGCAAGAGAGAATGTACTCAGCAATGATTATCACAGCTCCCCTTCGCTCAGATTAAATCGGTCGTCGGAAGGCAAGAAACGAGCAAAATAATAAAGAACAATGCACTTTATTTCCACAAATTTCAGCACACCAGCTGACAGATCACTTTGAAGAAAAATATTTTTCAATAGATTTTTGCTGACCCTTTCTGACGCGAATGACTGCTATTTCACTTGCAGTAGCTATTTAGAGTCTGTCCTCACTGTCATTGTAAGCACCAAAGACGCAGCACAGCAGGTCTGTCGCATCCAGCACTTGCGCGGACGTCGGTATGTCGAGTTCGCCGCCATTAGGCTCCGGGGTGTCGACACATTCGTCACTGTCATCATGCACGCCAGTCACTGCAGGCACAATTTCTGCATTTTACAACTCTTCGGTTGTCGCTGCGTCAGCATCGGCACTAATGTACATGCAGAAAGTGCTGCAGTCAGTCACAACATCGGCGTCAAAGAGAGCGTCCCACAACGTCTGGGCCTTGTCGACCGCGGCACCCCCACATCGCCGAAATCTTCGGCCACTTTCTTTTTTTTTTTTCTTGATGCCAAACTCAAGAGCTTTCAACACTGCCAACTTCTGCTCGATTGTTATATTTTTGCGCTTGTGTTTGCCGCTGCCGTTGTCCATCTCGTGTTTAGCGGCAGAAACTGATAGAGGTGGTGTTGGTCTTCCACAGCGAACGAGAAAGAAGAAAGCGTGCGAGGCTCCAACGCAGAGCTGAAGGGGAGAAGGAGGCTGAATGCGCGGGCGGGTCAACGAGGTCTACAGGAGAGGGGAGGCTGGCTGACGCGCACGCTCATGCGTGTTGCTGCGCGGGCAAATTCAATAATTCTTGATTGATATGTGGGGTTTAACGTCCCAAAACCACCATATGATTATGAGAGACGCCGTAGTGGAGGGCTCCGGAAATTTCGACCACCTGGGGTTCTTTAACGTGCACCCAAATCTGAGCACACGGGCCTACAACATTTCCGCCTCCATCGGAAATGCAGCCGCCGCAGCCGGGATCCGAACCCAATTCAATAATTCTAGAGGAGAAGAGAAGCGGGGAGACTCGCTCCCACACGCGTGTTGGCAAGCGGCTCCTGGGAAGCGCAAGGCGCGAGTTTCGAATCACCGCGGCCGTGATGAGACGTAAACCATCGTGCGCTATAATATATTGAGAAATGACGTATATCAAAATAATCAGTAAATGCTCATTGTGAACAAGGAATGGTTCGTCATATTCATTGTGGGCAAATTTTTGCTTCGTTAGAACGAGGTTTTAAGTACATCGGCATCTATGGGAATTTCAATGGAAATTACAATTGCTTCGTTATATCCATTTGTTTGTTGCATCTCAATTCGTTATGAGGAGGTTTTACTGTATCAGATAAATTTAGAGGCAGAAAAGATTTGTCCAAAATTAACTACACATTACACATTGTCATGGCACAAAATGAATACTGTACAGCTCAGTCTAAAACTAATTACATATTTGAAACCAGCATAACAACCTACAGAGTAACTCTAGATAATTTAAACTTTAATATTTCATGCTTTTGGTTGATTCAAACAAAATTCATTTTTTTTATTTGCCCTCTATTGTTTAAATATATTTAAAAGCCTCTCAAATGAAACTCCATCATTCAATTATTTCATACATTTTGCAGTTCCATACCAGAAAATATCTGCTGCTTTCCCACTACTAATTAAAAAAACTGCATGCTTATATAATCCTAACAGTGTAAAAATGAAAAATAAGCACCTAAGGCCTTCAAAGAAAAAGGCTTTGCCAGTAAATGAACGTTTGAAACAAAGCACACACATGGTAAAACATGATGCTTCTCAACTGGTATAGAGAGCTTTGTGCTGAAGGCACATTATAGCAATGAAGCAGTTGGCAATTCACGATTTCTTTGAAAAGTTTATTTAGCAGTGAATGGCCAATAAACTTGTGGACGTTACACCTCAGCTTTCTGTTCATTGCGTGCAGTTAGGTTTTAAAATCACTTAAAAAATTTTTAAACCTGGTAAAATCAATGCCTAATTATAATTTGCGATGTTACCTCACTCACAGTCATATATCTGAGAACTTCTGATAATTCAAACTTCTTCATAATTCAAACAAAATTCAGAGGTCTCTTCGAGATTGAAATAACGAAAGTCAACTTTGCTACAGTAAAAAAACTTTATTGCCCTAAACTACAAATTAGCGAAACCTTTTTTTTTAACTCACATCTATCCTTAAGCAAGTTTTGGCAGTGCGAGTTTTGGATTATGAGGCACTCGTCCACATCAGAGTTTGCTGATGGAGTTGGTCGGCTGCCACGTCAATCGGCACTTTAGGCATTGTGTTAGCAAGCATTTCTGAATGATAGCTGAGCCATGTGGTTAGAAAAAGGCCAACTGCATTTACCTGCTTTGACAGATGCACTCAGGAAATCCACCAGGGGTCTCAGGACACTGGCCTCTCCAAGGTACGAGTAGTTTAAAGGCACTGCACATGGAAATTCAAGAATAACAGAAAAAAACGCCACTTCCCTTAAAATTCAAACACTCATGGCAAAGACTTTCAGCATCAGGCCATTTCGAACTATCAAGCAGAATAGTATAGGTCTTTTACTGTAATTTATCAAAGCACCTTATACGACAGCTTCTTGTCCCACTTCCTTGCACACAGTGCAATGCTAACAAAAAGTTAAAGTTTTTTATTTTCCCACTTTACATGTAGGAAAGAATGTGCATCTGCTATACCAAAAGTACAAAAGCAAATATGTGTGCTGGTTTAGATAAACATGCCTGGTAAACTATGTCGCCTTGTCAATAAGGCTTTGCTGGCAATCTGTGAAGAATTCGAGACACTTCTTACACTTGAGGCCACTGATAACGATTCCAGATATAATGATCTATCAGTTTTTATGACCACTTTCAGCCCACTTAGGGCTTTCCCATGCATCCCATTGAAATTGCGACCACATATAGTGAATATTTTTCAGACCCTTCTATAGTTACAACAAACACTTCATAGATGATCGCAGCGAAAACATGGTGCTTTTGGGGAGTCACCATGCAGTGGACGCAGTAATCAACCTGACTATGTCCACTGCAGGACGAAGGCTTCTCCCATGTTCCGCCAGTCAACTCGGTCCTAAGCTTGCTTCTGCCACTTTACACCTGCAAACTTCCTAATCTCATCTGCCACCTAACTTGTCTCCCCCCTCACCCGCTTGCCCTCCTCTGGGAATCCCGTGGGTTACCATCAATTACCAGCGATTATCCTGCCTACGTGCTACCTTCCTGGCCCATGTCCATTTTCTTTTGCTTGATTTCGACTAGGATATCCTAAACCCAAGTCTGACCCACTCTGCTCTTTTCTTGTCTCTTAGAGTTACATCTATCATTTTCCTTTCCATTGCTCGCTACATTGTCCTCGATTCAAGCTGAACGGTAAGCCTCCAAGATTCTTCTCTGTAGGTAAGTACCGGCAAGATGCAGCTGTTATATACCTTCCTTTTGAGGAATAGCGGCAATCTACAAGTCATGATCTCAGAATACTTGCCGAATGCGCTGCACCCATTTCTTACTTTTCCAGTTACTTCACGTGGTTCAGCTCCACGGTTACTATCTGTCTTAAGTAGACGTACTCTTTTACAACTTCAAGTGCACTGCTACCTATGTCGAAGTGCTGCTCTCTTCTGAGGTTGTTGTGCATTACTTTCGTTTTCTGCAAACTAATTTTAAGACCTACCTTTCTGCTCTCCTTGTCTATTTCAGTAATCATTAACTGCAATTCATCCCTTGAGTTATTCAGCAATGCAATGTTATCAATGAAGCGCAGGTTACTACGGCATCCTCGGTTAACTCATATCTCTAACTCTTCTTCCCAACCTCTTGTAAGCATGCGTTAAATAGCGTTGGAGGGAGGTTGTATTCCCTTGTGTAATTGGTGTTCGGTCGCTTTTTTTTATGGAGCACTATAGTGGCAGTTGATACTCTGTAGATTTCTTCCAGGATGTTTATGTATGCTTTGTTGATGCCCCGATTCATATATGAACATCCTGGCAGAAATCTACAGTAAGTAAGTTGAAACAGGCCTGCTAAAGCACAAGATAAGTGCTTTTCTGCTGTTTATTTGCGTCGAAGATATCCCAGAGCGACAAGCACCACGAGAGTTTGGAAGCTGCAAGAGAAGTCCCAGGCATTTACTCAATGACAGCATGACAGAGAAAGAAAATAAAGAAATAGGAGGCAACATGAAGTCTTGTGGTCAGCTTTCGCACAGCAACCAATTCTAATGCCATTGAGTGCATCTACGACCCCCTATGATGAAACAACCAATGCCTGAGAATACAAGAAGCCATATTTGTGCAAGTGATAACTACGACAACCTTTATCACAGTGATCTGCAGATTGAAGACACGGCAAGTGCCCCATGCTGCCATCCTCCAACACCTCATTGTGCAACACTGCTTTGAAGTCTACGTTGTTTTGTATAAACTAAAGCTGGTGTTGCTTTCTGTCGGAAAATTTATATCTGGTTGGGGACGTCATTGATGGTGCCATCATTGCGAAGCACCAAACTATTACCATCAGGAAAGAAATAACGCCAGCTTGGAGGACATGCAAAAAGCTGTCCGGTCCACATATATTCACATGGCATCAAAGTATACCAATCCATCCCACAGCCTTTGCTCGAAGGACCCCAAAACTTGGTCTAAATTCAACAAAGCCCAGTTGAATAAATGGTGAACCATTATTAATTCATTCACAAAAAACATCTTATAGCATCTATTAAACCAAATCATCTCAAACTAGCTCACCCAGAATTACTTTCTAAATGCCTTCATGGGAAAACTTAAAACCATAATGAGTCATTGTATTGTCGTGTGGGAGCGCGTTCCAAAAAAATGCTTTCTTCGGGCACGAAACACTTTAAAGATGCACTCTTGATGCTGTGTTCACTTTAAATGACGACAATATAGCCCATGTGAATATGCTGAACTATCTAGGAATTCAGCTAGGGCACTGCACACTGCAGGGCCTATGCACCCTTGAACTGCGTCAACAGTACTTTTGCTGACAGGGCTGCAAACCAGGCTACAAATGAGGCTCAATAAGCAAGACGTTTCAACAACAACAAAAAAAAAAATGATATTGGTGATGAGTATCTGGCTGGTGCCTACTGAATGGGTCTGTGAGTTAGCCGCTATCTCCTTGTACTTAAGAGATAATGCAGATTTTTAACTTTAAATGCGATTATGTCAAAACATGCTTTTTTGTACTTATGTTTCTTTTTCTCAGCAACTGTACTATATAGAATCATAGATATCAGCCAGTATTTAGAGAACAAAATGGGAAATATGCTGAAGCAGAATCATTGTTATTAGAGAAAGTGCTCTTCTACAACATGACAGCTAACAGCTATTATTGAGTGATTATAAGGTACCTGAAGTAAAAAAATGACAAAATGGAGAGTCTGCACAGTGCTGTAGTAAAGTAGATTCCCAGTAAATGAAATCTGTTAAACAGAACCACTGCTTAAACAGAAATATTGCCTGTGCAATGCTTGGTTTTGGGCTTGTATTCTGCACCCATGTTCACCTCTCAGTAAATGAAACTCCTGGTAAATGGAACATAGTTTTCCGGTCCTTTGAGATTCCGTTTACTGTGAGTCTACTTTATTTCAAAAAAGTGATCGCCACAGTCTACTGTACAAGCTTGTTCGCGGTGTGTAAAAAATAAGTCGGACCTAGCCCTTCAGTGTGACGGAAACACAGGGACAAGATAAATGCCGTCCTGCGTATATCTCTTTTTTGTCCCTGTGTTTTCTTCGTGCTGAAGCAGTCGTGTGTCTTTGTCTTCGCACCTCATTCATCCTTATAAATCATTTCAAACTACGCCAAATGGCTGTACTACAGTTAAACCTGCATATAACACAACTGATAAATGCCCGGAAAAATTTGTTATAAAGGGGATTTCGTTATATGTAGGTTAGGTACGAAAATTCAGAAAATAAAAGAGCAAATTAAACAAAAGGGGGACTGAAGGCAGAGCTAACCCAAAACACATATATTACATTAAAAAACTGCATTACTACTGCGATAGCAATTATATGGACACTCTTGGCAGGTTTTTGCTGTCGCTGACGTGTTCCATAACAAGTCCAAATTGAAAACATGCCCCCACACATCGTAACTTTCAAGAGCGAGTAAAAGCGCGGGAGCGCTGCTGAAGCAGAGATCAAATGAGTCAGCCCGCCTCTTTCGAATGGAAAGTGCATAACATTTCCTGCGCGTTAGAACTGCCGTCATATACTCAAACAGAAAGTAAACCGCCTGTTTTAAACGAGCATGTAAAAACGCGAGAAGGGGGAGGGATCGCTCAAGTAGCAATAATGAATTTGGATTTTAAGGGCAGTGCGATCGCTGGCGCGCTTGCTATCTCGTCGAGTATCACTGCAATTTCAATGCGAAGGGACTGTGTGAAAAGAGCGAAGTGATCAAGTGCGCCCGGCAAACGCAATCGCTCTGGTAAAAGAGTCAAAGCCGAAGGCACGGGATTCTTTCAACCGAAGGCTAAGCGCGCGCACACAAGCATCTACCCCCCCCCCCCCCCGCATTCGTGGGGCAAAGTAGGCGTGGGAGATAAGCGCGCGTCGGCGCATCATGGTGAACTGGGCGCCGAGCAAGGCCTACCTTTTTTTTTCTTTCTTGAGTTTTCATTTATATACATATAGGGTTAATGAAGGCGGCGATAGAGTGTGCTAAAAGTGATGAGTGGCGTGACCACGCTTCGTCGCCCTATTCTTTCCGCGTTGTCTGCACCGGCGACGCTGCAGTCGAATAGTACTGAAAGAGCCACGCGCCGCATGCAGGAACTGCTATGCGCTTCGGCTCCTCCGTCGAGCTTTCTTGGTGCATATTACTTCCTACCTGCCCACCATTCATGTCTAGCACATGATGCCATAGCCCTTGAAGTATGACACGCCAATCTGCCGAATTTGAGCTCCATAAAAGCCCTTATGAGAGATCGAAAATCATTCAGAAAGGGTCTGTGTTATACTGAATTTTTTTCTTTCATCTCTTTGTGCGTTGGTTAGGCGTCTACAATATTGAGAATAACTGAGCCGATTTATTGGAAGTTAGCTGTCCTCAGAAAGCTGTGCGATTAAAAACCATATACTGTGTAACACACACGCAGAAACAGAAAGCCATAAGTAAAGAGGAGAGAGGAAGGGAATCTGAAACCCCAACACCACGAAATGTTTTCGTAATTCAACTTTTCAGGGTATACTAAAATATTTACATGCATTCACAGCAACCACGAAGTGCCAAAGTTAGGCGTCCTGCTGCACACCCCACCCCCTCAAAAAAAAAAAAAAATCTGCCATGGGTAGCCCTGTGCTAATAGTTTACTGTTGGAGAAGCTGAATATAGCATGTCTCTACAAGTGTCCACTGTAGATTTCACCTTTCCGACATTGTGAGGTCTCAAAACT